CCTTGGGAGGCAGCTGCTGCCTACTGTCTCTTCTGGGCTCTTGTTCCTGGCTAAGCCATTGGCCGGACGGTCCTAGGCAGGATGTCTGCAGGGGAAGGGCGGTCCCTGGGGCTCCAGGACGGGGAGTGGGTATGAGGCAGGGTTAGGGTGTCAAAGTAGGCCATCCTGATGGGTACTGTGCTTGGTAGGCTGTGCTGGAAAGCAAGTGGCCGTCTGGCACGCCAGGCGGGCGTCTGCGCTGGGCCAAGCTCCGGAATGTCGTCCTGGGGGCTGCTCAGTTCCGCCAGCCCTTGAGAGAACGGCGACAGCAGCAGCAGCAGCAGCAACAGCAACAGCAGCAGCAGCAGCAGCAGCAGCAGGTGTCAGCACCTCAAGAGGCAGGCAGCTCCCAGGCAGGTGGGTAGGGCCTGGTGAGACAGGCTTGGGGATGGAGTAACTGGGCTCAGGCAGGGAAAGGCATAGAGAGCTGGGGCTGGTCTAATGGTTGGTATTAGGTTTCTGGTGATTGATAAATTACAATTGCCTGGTAACAAAAGGGATAAAAAAATTAGCTGGGTGTGGTGGCATGCACCTGTAGTCCCAGCTACTTGGGAGGCTGAGGCAGGAGAATCACTTGAACCCGGGAGGCAGAGGTTGCAGTGAGCTGAGATGGCGCCACTGCACTCCACCTGGCTACAGAGCAAGACTCCATCTCAAAAAACAAAACAAAACAAACACGAAAGGGATAAAGCTTTGCCTGGGAGGAACCCTGCAAACCCAGGTCCATCTAAGGAGCTCTATTTTGGAACAGGGGACTGGGTTCCTAGCTGGCTGCCTCTAAACCCCTTCTTGTCTTTTAGAGCCCTATTTGGAGCGCCCTTCCCCTACTCGCCCCCTTCAGCGCCAGACTACTTGGGCTGGGCGAAGTCTGAGAGACCCGGCCTCACCCCCTGGACGCCTGGTGAAGAGTGGTAGCCTGGGCAGTGCCCGAGGGGCACAGCCCACTGTGGAGGCTGGTGTGGCCCACAGTGAGTGCCCTTGTCTGGCTCCTCCCACTTCCCTAGTCAGCTTTCCTAACCACTTGCTAGTGAGGTTTGGAAGACCAGAAACATAGTGGAGGGTGGCCCTCTGTGGTGGGTGCTGTAGATTCTCAGGGAATCCTGCCCAGAATATCATCATGGTGGGGGTTGTGGTACCAGAGTTTGTGCAGCCAGGAATTGTGTTTACTCAGGAAAGGGGAAGGTGGTGCAGAGGCTGGGGTACATCTTCCCTCATTCTTTTCTGTGCTGCAGTGATAGAGGCCTTAGGGGTCCTGGAACCCCGGGGATCACCTGTGCCCTGGCACGATGGAAGTCTCTCAGACCTGAGCCTGACGGGGGAGGAGCCGGTCCCTGGAGGCAGCCCAGGGGGCTCAGGCTCAGCCCTGAGTGCCCAGTCTACTGAGGCCCTGGAAGGGCTAAGTGGGCGGGGACCCAAGGCTGGTGGGCGACAGGATGAGGCAGGCACCCCCCGACGAGGGCTGGGTGCCCGCCTCCAACAGCTGCTCACTCCTTCCCGCCACCCCCCCACTTCCCGCATTCCCCCACCTGAGCTGCCTCCTGACCTGCCTCCCCCAGCCCGCCGCAGCCCAATGGACAGTCTTCTGCGCCCCCGGGAGCGTCCTGGATCCACTGCCTCCGAGGTAGCCAGCGAAGGAGGGTTCAGACGCCTTGGGGAGGGGCTATGACTGGAAGAATGCCCTAAAAGGGGCTCTGAGGGGTGCTTGAAACACCTCCTCTTCCTGGGTGGAAGAGCATGGGGTTGGCTGACCACGGTTTCTCATGTCATGGCAGAGTTCAGCCTCTCTGGGCAGTGAGTGGGACCTCTCAGAATCTTCTCTCAGTAACCTGAGTCTTCGCCATTCCTCAGAGCGCCTCAGTGACACCCCTGGATCCTTCCAGTCACCTTCCCTGGAAGTGAGGATAACCCCTCCCACACAGATGTGCTTGAACACACATAGCACACAGTCACCCTGTCAAAGGCAGGAGATGGGGAGGAGGTGGGAGGGGCTAGGGAAGGGGCATGGGCTCCAGAGTGCTGGTGGCCAGACAGGGCCTACTTCCCGGCTCTCCCTGCCCACAGATTCTGCTGTCCAGCTGCTCCCTGTGCCGTGCCTGTGATTCGCTGGTGTACGATGAGGAAATCATGGCTGGCTGGGCACCTGATGACTCTAACCTCAATACAACCTGCCCCTTCTGCGCCTGCCCCTTTGTGCCCCTGCTCAGTGTCCAGACCCTTGATTCCCGGCCCAGGTGCCCAAGGCAGGGCAAGTGCTGTGGGTGGGATAGGGAGGTGAAGGTCCAAGAGCTGACCCCTGCTGCTGTCCCCCTGCAGTGTCCCCAGCCCCAAGTCTGCTGATGCCAGTGGCAGCAAAGATGCTCCTGTCCCTGGGGGTCCTGGGCCTGTGCTCAGTGACCGCAGGCTCTGCCTTGCTCTGGATGAGCCCCAGCTCTGCAACGGGCACATGGGGGTAAGAACTGGGCCAAAGGGGCATGAGGAATGGGATTGTTGGCCTGTGGGGTGCCAGAAAGAGATGGGCACATCTCTTGCCCTTGAGGGCAAGAGGCATCCCAGAAGCTGTTGGATGTGGTGGCTTAGTGGGAGGCAAGGCTCTGGGGATGTACATGCCCTCTACTGCCCTCCCCCTTTGTGCCTGATAGGGACCCTCCCGGCGGGTTGAGAGTGGGGCATGGGCATACCTGAGCCCCCTGGTGCTGCGTAAGGAGCTGGAGTCACTGGTAGAGAACGAGGGCAGTGAGGTGCTGGCGTTGCCTGAATTGCCCTCTGCCCACCCCATCATCTTCTGGAACCTTTTGTGGTATTTCCAACGGCTACGCCTGCCCAGTATTCTACCAGGCCTGGTGCTGGCCTCCTGTGATGGGCCTTCACACCCCCAGGTCAGTACCCCCATGTGGCCCGTTTCCTAAGTGCCTCCCTCTTCATCTCTCAGCCATTTGTCTGCTGTGTCCTTGGCACTGTACACAGAGCATAGACTGGCCGGGCTCAGTGGCTCATGCCTGTAATCCCAGCACTTTGGGAGGCCGAGACAGGCAGATCACGAGGTCAGGAGATTGAGACCATCCTGGCTAACACAGTGAAACTCTGTCTCTATTAAAAACACAAAAAAAACATTAGCCAGGCATGGTGGTGGCGCCTGTGGTCCCAGCTACTTGGGAGGCTGAGGCAGGAGAATGGCATGAATCCGGGAGACGGAGCTTGCAGGGAGCTGAGATTGTACTGCACTCCAGCCTGGGCGACAGAACGAGACTCCGTCTCCAAAAAAAAAAAAAAAAAAAAAAAGAGCATAGACTTTGGAGTCTGCTGCACCTAGTTTGGATCCTGGCCCTTTCACTTTACCATTCTGAGCCTCAGTTTGGTCATCTGTAAAATGGATGCCAAAAGCACCCATCTCACTGGGCTGGTGTGTGGAGAACCTTGTGTAGAGCCTGGTACCTAAAAAAAATGATTCATTCATATTTTTCTATTCATTCTGCCAGTATTAAGTGCTTTTTATGTTCCAGGCACGGTTTTAGGCACTAGGTATGTAGCAGATTACAAAATAGTCCCTGCTCTCAAGAGCTTACATTCTTGTGGGGGATGAGAATTCCTTTCCCTCTTCTCTTTGGCTGTGTCCTGTAATGGCCCTCTGTCTCTTTGGCATCACCTGTCCATTTCTTGTCCTCTGCCTCCCATTCTTTGAGCCTAACTGTCTCCCCTATCTCGGCTTCCCCAGGCCCCATCTCCTTGGCTGACCCCTGATCCAGCCTCTGTTCAGGTACGGCTGCTGTGGGATGTACTGACCCCTGACCCTAATAGCTGCCCACCTCTCTATGTGCTCTGGAGGGTCCACAGTGAGTCTGGTATTTGGCCTGGGTGGGGAGGGTGGGTCCTATACCCAGAGGGCTCAGTGATCCTGGTGGCCTTCTTTCCTTTCATCCAGGCCAGATCCCCCAGCGGGTGGTATGGCCAGGCCCAGTACCTGCATCCCTTAGTTTGGCACTGTTGGAGTCGGTGCTGCGCCATGTTGGACTCAATGAAGTGCACAAGGCTGTGGGGCTCCTGCTGGAAACTCTAGGGCCCCCACCCACTGGCCTGCACCTGCAGAGGTATAGTGCTACCATCTGGGTGGTCCCTGACCTGTCCGGGGCTCCACACCCCTTTTCTCTCACTCATACACTTCTGCCTCCACTAAAGGGGAATCTACCGTGAGATCTTATTCCTGACAATGGCTGCTCTGGGCAAGGACCACGTGGACATAGGTGAGGGAGCAGGCAAGGGGCTGAGGAGTTTAGGGATCTGGGGCCAGGTGTGGGAGGCTGGGGTCCTAATGTATTGACTTCCATCTTCTTCCCTAGTGGCCTTCGATAAGAAGTACAAGTCTGCCTTTAACAAGCTGGCCAGCAGCATGGGCAAAGAGGAGCTGAGGCAGCGGCGGGCACAGATGCCCACTCCCAAGGCCATTGACTGCCGAAAATGTTTTGGAGCACCTCCAGAATGCTAGAGACTCTTAAGCTTCCCTCTCCAGCCTGGGGTGGGGAACTGAGAGAGAAGGGATTCTAGAGTTAACCTGCTTCCATGTTCCCTTCATGGAGTTGGGAACAGGCTGGGAAGCATGCCCAAAGGCTCCAAGCGAGGACAGCAGGAAGAGGGATCCACTGTTACCAAAAGTCCTGATTCCCCCATCTCCAACCTACCCAGTTTGTTCGTGCTGATGTCAGGGGAGATCTGGGGGGAGTTGGTACAGCTCTGTTCTTCCCTTGTCCTATACCAGGAACTCCCCTCCAGGGTACCCACAGATCTGCATTGCCCTGGTCATTTTAGAAGTTTTTGTTTTAAAAAACAACGGGAAAGATGCAGAGCTACTGAGCCTTTGCCCTGAATGGGAGGTAGGGATGTCATTCTCCACCAATAATGGTCCCTCTTCCCTGATGTTGCTGAAGGAGCCCAAGGCTCTCCATGCCTTTCTACCTAAAGTGTTTGTATTTTATTTTAAGTTATTTATTCTGGAGCCACAGCCCCCTTGCTTATGAGGTTCTTATGGAGAGTGAGAAAGGGAAGGGAAATAGGGCACCATGGTTCGGTGGTTTGTAATTCCTCCAAAGTCAGGCATTGGGAGCTAGAGGCATCTCAAGCTCCCCTTAGGAAGAACTGGTACCCCCTCCAGTCCTAATTTTTCTTGCCCATCCCACCTTGGGGAATGCCTCACCCACCCAGGTCCTGACCTGTGCAATAAGGATTGTTCCCTGCGAAGTTTTGTTGGATGTAAATATAGTAAAAGCTGCTTCTGTCTTTTTCCTTCGGCCTCCTGTTCCCTGGGTCTGGGGTAATACGGAGATATCTTTCATTTTCCCCCGGCTATACATCTGCTTTTCCACCTTCCCATCCTTTATAGTGTTCAGGCATACCCTGCTTCCCCTGACCATGTCTGAGACTGGCTCCTTGAGGCACAGGGAGTTCTCAGAGCAGGAGAAGGGTGAATCTGGTGCTGGCTATGGTGGTGCCAGTCTGTGTGGCACTTCCGGCCCTCCCACACAATCACCCCCTTGTCCCTCATCTGTACCCCACACAAAGGCTCCATTCTCTGGGGGCCCTGAGCTCATCTCTGCCTTATTTCCTCTCTTCCACCTTCCCCCACCAACCTTCTCCATACCTCCACAGGGATGACAATCATCTCCCCAGCAGTTGGTGTTGGCAGCCCTCATGCATCCTGGCAGTCATCCTAGGCTGCCTTAGTTGCTCTAGCTGCAGGCACTATTCCTCCAACCAGGGTCTCAGCCTGGCAACAGCACCAGGAAGGCAGGGGCAAAGATTAAGGGACTTGCTGCATGTGGACATCAGGAAAACATGCATCACTTTCCTTATCCCTTTGGTCCACTTAAGAGCTCTCTCTTTTTTTCTCCTATAATGAAATAAACACAGGAAATGACTCCTAACAGAGCGGCAAACCAATTACCAAAGGGAATCAGCCAACAAAACAAATGCCTTGGGGAAGGAGAGTAGGTGTATCAATGGAGGAAATAACTTAGGAAAGCACATTTCTGGGGGGTGGAGATCACTGGATGGAGAGTGAGGTACTACTGGATGCTGAGTCTTTCAAGCCAGAGGATCGTTTTCTATCCTGTCTTGAGCATGTTAGGATGCTTTTTCAGTGTCCTAGAGGAGCTACAAAGAAGGGAACCAAGGGGCTTAGGAAATTCCATTTGTCTTACTAGGAGATGCTTTCTTCAGAGGGAAACTCTCATGCCACCCCAGTTTCTCATCAGACCGCAGTCCCCAGAATAAACCTCTCCCTGTTTCATCCCCCAAAGACCTTTTCAAGGGAGGACTTGGCCTTTTAAAATCATTTTAAAATGAAGTTTCTGTTGAGTGTAGTATGCTCAGCACTGTACCGAACTATAGAGAGAATTTCAGGGCTCAGTCCCTACCCTAATGGAGCATACAGTCTTACTGGTCTGGAGGGCACCTTTGTTCACAAACAGTAACAATAATGAACTCTCTCTCCTAGCTTATGCTTCTCACTTTTGGGCCTCCTTCTAGAGACTTGCAGTCAGATGGGAGAACTACAGAATTCCTTAACCATAAGAATATCTAGGCTGGGCAGATCACTTCAGGCCAGGAGTTTGAGACCAGCCTGGCCAACGTGGCAAAACCCCGTCTCTACTAAAAATACAAAAATTAGCCGGGCGTGGTGGCTCATGCCTGTAATCCCAGCTACTCAGGAGGCTGAGGCTTGCTTGAATCCAGGAGGTGTAGGTTGCCATGAGCCAAGATCATGCTACTGCACTCTAGCCTGGGCAACAGAGCGAGACCCTGACTCAGAAAAATAAATAAATAAATAAATAAAAATCTGGGAATTTTAATAGGAAAGTATTCAACATGATATCTGACATATCTGTCTGTCCTATGGCCTAGGGAGCTGTATGAGAGGAAGGATATGCCCAAGTTACCTGGCCCAATTTCTCTTCCCAGGCTTTAGAGTGTATAGGCTCAAGTATGAAAAATTCGGGCCAGGCACGGTGGCTCACACCGGTAATCCCAGCACTTTGGGAGGCTGAGGTGGGCGGATCACGAGGTCAGGAGATCAAGACCATCCTGGCTAACACAGTGAAACCCCGTCTCTCCTAAAACACACACACACACACACACACACACACACAAATTAGCCGGGCGTGGTGGCACCTGCCTGTAGTCCCAGCTAATTAGGAGGCTGAGGCAGGAGAATCACTTGAACCCCAGAGGCAGAGGTTGCAGTGAGCCGAGATTGCGCCACTGCACTCCAACTTGGGCAACAGAGTGAGACTCCGTCTAAAAAAGAAAAAAAAAAAAAAGGTTGGCTGGGGCCGGGCACAGTGGCTCATTCCTGTAATCCCAGCACTTTGGGAGGCCGAGGAGGGTGGATTGAGGCCAGGAGTTCGAGACCAGCCTGGCCAACATAGTGAAACCCCAACTCTACTAAAAATACAAAGATTAGCCAGGTGTGGTAGCACGCGCCTGTAATCCCAGCTACTTAGGGTGCTGAGGCAGGAGAATCGCTTGAACCCAGGAGGCAGAGGTTGCAGTGAGCCAAGACTATGCTGAGACCATGCCATTGCACTCCAGCCTGGGTGACAGAATGAGACTCCATCTCAAAAAAATAAAAAAATAAACAAAAAATTAGCTGGGCGTGGTGGTGGGGGCCTGTAATCCCAGCTACTCAGGAGGTTGAGGCATGAGAATTGCTTGAATTTGGAAGGTGGAGTTTGCAGTGAGCTGAGATCGCTCCACTACACTCCAGCCAGGGCAACAGGAGACTCCATCTCAAAAAAAAAAAAAAGAAAAAAATCGGCTGCATGTGAGGGCTCACGCTTGTAATGCTAGCAATTGTAATCCAATGCTTGGGGAGGCTGAGGCAGGCAGATTGCTTGACTTCAGGAAGTCGAGATCAGCCTGGGCTAAATAATGATAAAACCCCATCTGTCTCCATAATTTTTTTTAAAAATTGAGGAAAATATTGTGTCTGCCACTTAATAATTTTATGATGTCATACAAGTTACTTTACTGCTGTGCCTCAGTTTTTCCTCATCTGCAAACTGGGGGTCATTTAAAGATTAACTATATAATCCATAGCTTCAAAAAGGGAACAAACAAGTAGAGCCTGCATTGGGCACAGGTCATGTCCACTACAGTACTGACCTCACGTACTTGTCTTCCTTAAAGCTCGATCATTCCAGATTGACAGTCCCCCTCCATGGCCTAATTTTCGTCTTGTTGAGAAGTATTTTCTCGGCCTACTTTTATCTTCCTCGGGCTGGTATATACCACCATGTTTTTCCTATCTCCTCGAAGCCCTTGAAGGATGGCATTTCAGATAGCAAATAATGCACTGGACTGATAATGGACAAAGAAGTAGGTTAGGGAAAGACGAATGCACCTTCAGTGAGGGCAATGACTTTGTCTAATTCACTGCTATATCCCGAGCACATGGATGAGTGCCTGATAACCTAATAAGTGCTCTATCATGTGTGTTCAATGACTGAAAGGAGTCTGAAAGCATTAAAATATTGTAGTTAGTACAGAAGATCGGTATCATGGGTAGAATACCAACAGAAGCTGAATTTAGAGGTAGGAGAGTGAAATTGTTGAAAAAGCAAGGAAAGTTCTCAAAATAGTTACTATATATTATGTTGAATGCTTTAACTATATTCTTGGCAGTGCTCTGAGCATTTTGAAGGTATTATTTTATAATTCTCATAATTAGCTGGTGAACTGGGTACTCTTATTCCCATTTTATAGATAGGGAAACTAGGGGATACAGAATAGAGGTAAGTAATTTTCAGCCAAATCACACAACTGGTGAGAGGGAAAGCCAAGATCCAAACTCAGGCAGTCTGACTCTAGAGCCCATGTTCTTACCTGGATACCATACTAGCATAAAAACAAGTTTTAATCTATTTAAAATAAGAATTAGGCCAGGTCTGGTGGCTCACAACTGTAAATCCCAGCACTTTGGGAGGCCAAGGCGGGTAGATCACTTGAGGTCAGGAGTTTGAGATCAGCCTGGCCAACATCTCCACTAAAAATACAAAATTTAGCTGGGTGTGGTGGTGGGTGACTGTAATCCCAGCTACTCAGGAGGCTGAGGCAGAATTGCTTGAACCCAGGAGGTGGAGGTTGTGGTGAGCAGAGAGAGCGCCACTGCACTGCAGCCTGGGCAATAGAGGGAGACTCTGTCTCTAGAAAAAAAAAAAAAAAAAAAAAAAGAGTTGAACGCTGCTTGCAGCGATGTACATCTGTAGTCCCAGCTATCTGGGAGGCTGAAGTGGGAGGACCTTTTTTTTGTTTGAAACAGTCTCCCCCTGTCACCCAGGCTGGAATGCAGTGGCGGGATCTCGGCTCACTGCAAGCTCCACCTCCCGGGTTCACGCCATTCTCCTGTGTCACCCTCCTAAGTAGCTGGGACTACAGGCGCTCGCCACCACGACTGGTTATTTTTTTGTATTTTTAGTAGAGACGGGGTTTCACCGTGTTAGCCAGGGTGGTCTGGATCTCCTGACCTCGTGATCTGCCCGCCTCGGCCTCCCAAAGTGCTGGGATTACAGGCGTGAGCTACCGCGCCAGGCCGGGAGGATCTCTTGAGCCCAGGAGTTTCAGAGCAGCCTGGGTAACATAGCAAGACCTCATCTCTAATTTAAAAAGTAAATAAATAATGTGGGGGCTGTGGTGGGCGCAGTTGTTCACACCTGTAATCCCAGCACTTTGGGAGGCCAAGGCGAGTGGATCACTTGAGGCCAGGAGTTTGAGACCAGCATGGGGAACATAGTGAAACTCTGTCTTTACTAAAAATACAAAAATCAGTCGGGCTTGGTCACGTGCGCCGGTAATGCCAGCTACTTGGGAGGGTGAGGTGGAAAGATGGCTTGAGCCTGGGTGGTGGAGATTGCAGGGAGCTGCAATCGCGACACTGCACTCCAGCCTGGATGACAGAGGGAGACTGTCTCAAAAAAAAAAAAAAAAAAAAAAAAAAAAGAAAAAAAAAAATGGGGGCGTGTGTTTGTGTAGGATCTACCTATGGCTTTGTCATGTTCTCCATTATAGTTTCATTTCCATTGCACAGCATGACTTTTAAATAATTTGAAAAACATGTTCAAATACCTGTGGAGACTGGTGTGGTGGCTCACACACCTGTAATCCCAGCACTTTGGGAGGCTGAAACAGGAGGATCACCTGGGGTCAGGAGTTCGAGACCAGCTGCCCAACAAGGCGAAACCCCGTCTTTACTAAGAACACAAAAATTAGCCGCGCGCCTGTAATCCCAGCTACTCGGGAGGCTGAGGCAGGAGGATCGTTTGAACCTGGGATGCGGAGGTTGCAGGAACTGAGATTGTACCACTGCACTCCAGCCTGGGAGACAGAGTGAGAAAAAAACAACAACAAAATGCCTGTGGAACCAGTTGTTTCTGAGTTTAAACCACTGTTTAGTCACTAACTAGCGGTCTGACCTTTGGCAAGTTACTTAGCCTCTCTGAGCCTTAGTTTCCTCATCTACCTGGGTTCAAATTTCAGCTTCAATTTCAGCTCTACCACTTAATGTGTAACTGGACAAATTTTCTGATCCTAATTTTCCTCATCTGTAAAGTAGGGATAACAGTACCTACCTCACAGTCATGAGGAATAAATACTTCATGTAAAGTTCTTAGCACAGAGCCTGACACAGTCTCCGAAAACGTTGGCTACTATCATAACCCCAACACCCGGACTCTCTTACTTGATCCCCATCCTCAAGATGCTCCAGAAACGCTGAGTTTAGGAGGGCCTAACTGCTCCGTGGAAGCAGGGAGGCCAGCAAGAGGAGCTGGCCCTTGAGTTGATTAGGTGGAATCGGGCGGGGTGGGAGGCTGTTTCCTCGCTGAGAACCTAACCAGACCAGGAGTTCCCAAGAGAAGGAGCTGCGAGGGCTCTGCACACCGTAATTCCTCAGCAACTTGGCTAGCTGCCTTTTTTTTTCCCCTGCTGTCGTGGTTTAGTCACGACAGCACCAAGCGGAGGTACGATGAACACCAGGAAGCTCAAAGCCTTTGGCAGACGGAGACAGGCCACACCCCAAAAAGACGGCAAGGCCCAAACGCCTAAAGCTAGTTCTATCGTGAAATTTCCTAGATTCTGTCGCGACGAAACACCGCCCACCTCAGACCCCAGCGCCGTTCGCCAGTCTCCATCTTTAGAATTGAAAGAATGAGAGCTGGCCAAAGGGGAATCCCGGTTTGGAGAGACTGGGGTACGGCGGCTGCCTGGGGACCAAAACGTCTCTAAGGTAAAGTTGCAGCCTGAAGCGATTTTTTGACCCCCGACACTTAATGGGCTGTCGAAGACCCGGATGTGTCTGGGACTGGCCGAGGTACCCATTAACGCGCCCCCGCTAGACCATCCCCCCCTCCTCCGTTTATGATTGGGTTTTAAGCACGCCAATCATCACTTCTCCGGCCACTCATTCTTCAAGGGTGGGGTGAAGTCCCGGCATCTAATCTTCTACTGGCATGACCGAGAAGATGAGGGCGGGGTGGCCGGCTTAGGTCGCCCAATGGGCGTCGTGGCGTGTGGGTAAGGCGGAGCCGAGGCGCTTGGCAGCTGCCCAATCAGCGTCCTTGTTTGTGTGGTGCCGCCGCCGCCGGTGCAGCCGCCGCCGCCGCCGCTGCCCCCGTCTGTACCGCAGTGTCTGCTCCGCCCGCCCGCCCCGGTCCGGCCCGCCCCCCTCCCCCACCCCCGTCCCTAGTCCCGTCAGCGGGGTCTGGATCCCCCTGTGCCGTCGCCTCTTCCTTTTTCGACGCCTCCGCCGCTGCCTGAGGAGGCGAGCTAGCCGGGAGTTACACCGCCACCGCCAGGTGAGGAGCTTTGGCCTAGGCCAGCCTGGCCGCCCGCCCGCCCGGGGGCGGTGAGGAGCGAGGAAGGGAAGGAGGCTGGGAGGAGGCAGTGGTGGCGGAGGTGGGGGAAGGGAAAGGTGGAGGGGCGGGGGGAGGGGAAGCGCCCGCGAGCCGACGCCCGCCCGCGCGCCCCCGCCTTGCGTCCCCCTCCCCCCACCCCGGCACGGCGCGCCCCCGCCTCGCGCTCCCTCTTCACCTCATCCTCTCCCCCCTCCGCGCGCGCGACCCGGTCTTTCACTTCGGCCTCGCGCACCCCCAGCTCGTGTCCCTTCATTTCGTCTCCTTGTACTCTTTCTCCCCTCCCTCACTCCCCGTTTCCCCCGCCATCCCCGCTTTCACTCCCTGCCTCATGCCCGCCATGCTCCCCTCCTTTCCTCTCTAGCGCGCCCCCCCCTTTTTTTTTTTTAACTCTCTCCACCCCCAGTGGTGCCCTCAGGGTGCGGGGGCCGCTCCCTGCTCTCAGTCTTGTGTTTGCGGTCGGATGGGACAAATGGGGAATCTAAGGGTGAAGGAAGCACCAGATAATTATCTTTATTTAGGGAAAGGGATCAGGAGCGCAGAATCTTACCCCTTTATTTCGTCGTCCACCGTTCTCTCGCCCTCCCGTAGGAGAAGAGAATTGTCTCAGCCTGTGTGGGCACTTAGCTTCTACAGCGACTGGGCTTGTGGGACACACTGGATCTGTTTTCCAGTTCAGTTCCTGAGGGTTGGTGGAACTTACCCTTCCCTACCCAAACCGAGACTTAGAGTACTTTTGGCCTCCCTGCTCTCAATTACACTGAGGAGCGAGCCACTCCTGCGAGTGCAGAGGTTTAGGTGCCATTCGCGCGCCCGGTACAGCTCTCCCCTTTCATAAAGGTATGGAAGCCTCTTTGGATTCTTCCCCAGCATCAACTTCCAAACACAAGATGTTAGCTCATAGGGCTGGCAGTGAGGTGGAGATGGAGGCTTGGTGGTGGGTGGCGTGCGGATGCTAACTGAGCTAGCTAGCAACCTTTTTCTCTGTTGTCCCCTGAAGAATCAGGTAGCCTCCTGAGAACCAGTTTTCTCATTTCTGATAAACGCTTATTTGGAGGGCGTGTGTGTGTGTGTGTGTGTGTGTGTGAGTGAGAGAGAGAGATGGGGGGATACTTAATATATTTCAGCAAAAGGCAAGAGCAGTGTTTTCAGGCGAGGCTGCAAAAGAGGGATTTGGAGTTGTAACTGATGGAATTAAAGCAGGTTTAACAGATCTGTGTTGGAGAAGAGCTGATGCTTTTGTAGTTTTTGGGATATTTTTTCTAAAAATTTATATTTTGAGTAGAAAAGCATGCATGTGGTGGTACAAAGTGAAAAACAAGCTTCCCTCCCGTCTCTGTCCTACAGCCATCTAGTCTCCTTCCCCTCCTAGCGCAGGTGACTTTGATGTTTTCTGGCAGCAGCATGGTGTCTATATGTTGTCGGTGATTATCCTGTTTGGGAGTTTAGTGCTAACTTTATTGCTCTTTATTTGGTATGCTTACCTGAACTCTTCTTTGCAGTCTGATAACAACTTGGATTCTTATTTTTGGTGCTGGAGCTGTCTTTCAAGTATTGTCCTAGAGTAGTATTTCTGTCAGTACTTAGTTGAGAAGGAGGCCACTTATTAAGGTGCTATGAAGGGCTTCTGTATGTTTTGAGGGAAGGCCCACACTTGTTGGATCGTGCTGCTTTTTTTGTGACTGATATCTAGTCGCTGGCTATTTGGGAATGGATCAAATAGCTATTTGGGAATGGCTGTTTGGGTCAAGGATCGGATTCACATAAGCGGATAGCTTATATGAATAACTAGTTGATGGTAGGGCTGTCTTCACTTTTTAGGGGAATAGAGTTTTTTAGTCCAGTGGCAGTGATAGTCATCATGGAACAAGATAGAAAAGTACTAATCAGCAGGAATCAGAAGGCTGAATCTATAGGCTGAGTGACCCAATTTGAGTAGAGGTGAGGTTTACAGAGTTCGGTCCTGCCTATTATTCCTTACTTGAGAACACTCTCCATGAGGTGAGAGTGATTTGTAGTTGACAGCAGCATCCATCTTTATGACACTGTGGTTTGCCTTCCCTGACCGTATGTGATGTCTGTTAACTTCCTGTTTAGAGGCAGTCCGAGTAGGGTCTGAATATAGGCTGCATTCAGATAATTTTCTAGGAACATTGTTAACCAGGTCCCCTGATCAGCCCTTCACATCTAAATTCTGTCAGTAACTTTTACTGATGCGCTTAGCATAGGGCCACAGGGTGGTGACAGAGGGAAGTGTGAGGAATTTGTTCTGAGCCTCACAACCTTAAAGTACTTTCAGAAGCTTGTATGCTGTCCCCCATTTTGGGGGTTCGCCCGCTCCTCCCCTTTTTTTTGCCAGACGGGCAAGGCTGGACCTCCAGGTTGAATTTTGGGGATCATTGTGTCAGTGAAGGTATCCTAATCATGTGTTGAGACCTCTGAATTCATCTCACCTTTAAGCAGTGAGTCTTGTATGTTGCATGTAAAGCGTGCCTCTTGTTTCAATTTACTGATTCTTCCTTCCTTTCCTCCCCCACCCACCAAACTGGAGGGGCATGTGGGGGAAAACAGCAGCTGTGCTGTCCTGATTTCTAGACTCTGGAGCATATTCCATGTTAGCCACCCCATTGGGAGTCATGCTGACAAGCAGCCCCTCTGCACTTAGCTTAGAACGTTCATGTTGTTTGGCTCATTGAGAAAAGCCAACCAGCTTTGGTTGATTACTACAAGTGCTAGAGAAATCGTAAGATTTGAGCCATAACTGGGACTGAGGGACTTTCTTTTCCAGACTTTTGCAGTACTAAAAGCCGTGCATTATTACGTATCAAGGCACAATAGCCAGACATTTTCTGAGGTAGTTTGGAGGGAAAGAAAAAGTAAAGACACACACCCAGATTGACTGTAAATCTAGTCCTGGCATAAAACTGTCCACCTCTTGCTTGGGGAAAAAATCCAACCTATCAGACAATATGACACAGAGTTGCAGTTCTCCTACTGTTGGCTAAGCCTAGGAAAAGATACATAAGGAAGTTCAGTTTCTGTTAAAATGGCTGGATTTTGTGGTGAACCTTCTATTAGCCATATTGTTTGGTTTATCCTCAGTAATCTGTGTGAAACTTTTTTATAGGTCCAGGTTGGGGATTTTGGTGGCTCCAGAATCCTTGAAGCAGGAACCTCCTTTCTTTGTGTAGCAGTGATGAAAGCCTCTGAAGAGTAGGTCTGATTTGAAACAGACCCCTCCTCATGTTCCATCTTTTACCTTCTCCCTTGTGGATATTTGAAATATTCCTATCTAGCTTGAATTCATCCAGTAAGAAGGGAGTGACCCAGGGTCATTAGGGCTTAACCTGTCTAAGGTATTTAGATTGTGGCTTGGTAATGTTTGCTGTCTTTCACAAAACCCCCCTTACCTTTGCTATTTACCTAAGTTGCCATCAACTGACAAGAAAGTATCAACAGATTTGGGTTATAGTACCAAAAGCAGCAGAGTACTAAGAACACATCATTTGTTACTTTTGAGATATGAAGTGGTCAAATCCAGACCTCGAATCATAGTAACTGCAGAAACATCTTTGACAATGTGTGAACTTAATTGTTATTAATATTAACTAGTAAATTGCTAAAGAAATTAAGGGAAATTATGGCAATTCCATATTCCTGAGCCATTCTCTTATTGTTTTTCACACCTGGCTAGTTCCATTTCGTTTATTTTTATTTTATTTTATATTTTTTGAGATGGAGTTTCGCTCTCGTTGCCCAGGCTGGAGTGCAGTGGCGTGATCTCAGCTCACTGCAGTCTCTGCCTCCCGGGTTCAAGCAATTCTTCTGCCTCAGCTTCCCAAGTAGCTGGGATTACAGTCACCTATCACCGTGCCTGGCTAATTTTTGTATTTTTAGTAGAGACAGGGTTTCACCGTATTGGCCAGGCTGGTCTCGAACTTGTGACCTCAGGTGATCTGCCGACCTTAGCCTCCCAAAGTGCTGGGATTATAGGCATGGAGCCACTATGCCCACTACGCCTGGCCTTAGTATCCATTTGAAAAAATAAATCAGGTTACTGTTACCTAAAGCTGAGAGTCATACTTTAAATCTCCTGATCAAAGCTTTCTTGGGCTTGTCTCATTTCAAGGGCAGGTGGAATTTATAATCTTTAAAAATATATGCTGGAATGTTAGTAGGATTTAGATTAGACGCCAGGATTAATAAACTCACATTATAATTGTGAAGGATTGCAAATACTAACTGGAAGGCTTGTGCGTCTCTTACTCAGAAGATTTTTATAATGTTAGCATTTCGAGAGTATTTAAATTCAAACTTGCTGGAAGAGAGGGGGTAAGCTAATATGTTGCAGATTGGACTAGTGGAACACAGGTTGTGGAGAGCCTCGAAGTCCTGGGTTGAATTCTAGCTTTGTAGTTTATTAGCTAACTGACTTTGGGTAAGGCTACTAATTTTTCAATTCCCATTTCTTGCAGAGTGATGCCAGTCCTTGCAATAGCCTTTAAGGTTTTACATGGTTTGCCCTCCCCACCCTCTTCCATTTTTGATCGGCTGTCTTCTTCCCTCTTGCTC